TCTTTCTTTCTTTCTTTCTTTCTTTCTTTCTTTCTTTCTTTCTTTCTTTCTTTCTTTCTTTCTTTCCTCTTCTAACTTTATTAAGCCCCAGAGCTCTCATGCTGTAGCCCAAGTAGGCCTTAAACTTGCAGCCATCCTCCGGCTTCCCAAGTGCAGCTATTATGGCATGAACTTTTTCACCTGGCTCCCAGCATCTTTTTTAGAGGCATTTTCATAAAGCCTTATAAGACATTCTCCACCCTCCAAGGAAGCCGACCTTCCTTGTCTTCCTACTCTTTGTAGCCTCCTCCCAATCTGGACCAAAGTGTTCTGTGTGATGAACAGAATGTGTCAAAAAATTAGATTATCTTAAAGACTGGCTTCCGCTTTTGTGAAGATGACTTGCTTTGGGGAAACTAGTCTCTTCATGCTTTACTGTGAACAACTTTACAAACAGGCTCACAATTTGAACTGCAGTCTCCAAACCATAGGCATGCGAGGGCTCAGAAGAGAGTCTTCTGACTTTATTATCCACCACTGAATGCAAACCAAGGCAATTTCACAACTGCAAATTCATTGGAGATCCAGAACCTCCAAGGTAACCACCCCTCAATTCCCTGCCCACAGAAACTATGAGCTATTATTACTTTACGATACTAAATATTTAATTTGCTCATTTACACAGCAAAGGCAGTGGGTTTAATAAATAAAACAGAAATGACTAAGTGTTATGATTCTCCTAATAAAAGCTTTAACTTGACAGACTTGAAGGAATGGTAGCAAAAGGGTGACAAGCTCTGTGGAACTCTTCTGTAGATCACAGACTTGGTGCATAATAACTATAGTTACAGCTCTACTTCAGAGCCTTCAAGTCTTCTAACAGAATACATAACTTTGGAAGAAATCAAGGAAGTAGTAACAGTACTGATAGAAGAAGCCTACAGAACAATCCTTCCTAGGCACAGGTCTGAGTTGACTTCAAACTTCAGGGGCAAAGAACAAAGAATCAAGTTATGTTCAATAAGGCTGCCATCTGTAGGCCTGGGATTCTCCTCAACACTTCCTAAAATCAATGTAAGTAGTTTATTAGGCTAGCCTTGGTATTAGAGATAGATAAAAAGCTACTCACCCTCCCATCTCAGACTGGGGGGTCGTCTTGGTAATGACGATTGTCTTCCCAAGTTTGGATTCCAAGTCCACCTTGTAATCCCTGTGCCGTAGAAGTTCCCGCTTGACTGGCTGCACTGGTTTTCCTGAAAAAAGAAAAAAAAAAAAAAAAAAAAAAAGGAGTATGAAAGGAGGCCCCTTCGGCATTCAGTTTCTTTCTTTTTGTTTTTTTCAAGACAGGGTTTCTCTGTGTAGTCCTGGCTGTCCTGGAACACACTCTGTAGACCAGGCTAGCCTCTGCCTCCTGAGTGCTGGGATTAAAGGTGTACACCACTGGTGTCTAGTATTACAGTTTCTTAGCCATAGAGGGAAGAAATTTATGAACCCCAAAATTCAGATGACTACTCTCATTCTTGTTTTGAAGTCCTCAAATAAAGAACATAACAGGTACTTTATGCAGCAGTTAAAAGAGGCTAGAAAAGACTCTAATTGGCCTGGCGCTATGTATACATAGGCCTGACCTGTCACTATGTGGACCAAGCTGGCCTCAGACTTTTAATAGTGATGCCAATTCTCAAGATCTTTTCTCCATTTTAAAGCCATCAAATTTAAACACAGTTTTTCTCATGTGTTGTTTAGGAGAACTGAGTTGTTCTGAATTTTTGCTAGAAAAGTAACCCTTTCAAAAGAGGGCACTCACACTCAGTAGCATAATGTATTCAATGTTTTCATGCAGCATGATGGCTAATCTTGGTTGTCAACTTGACCACAATCTGGAATCAACTAAAACCCAAGCAGATGGGCACACTTGAAGTATGTTTTGCTTTGTTTCGTTTGGACTGTATCATTTAAGATGGGAAAACGAATCCTGAATATGGGCCACACCTAGGGCAGCTCCGGCAAAATGAGAGGAGGAAGCTTTAGCCTTTTTGCCTACTTGCCCTCACACACTAACTGGCAGGTGATCTATCCTGTTGCTGAGGCATGCTTTGTCGAGCCACTGTATCGTCTCTACCATCCCCTTAGCCCTTCATGAAGCGAGCACCCACCATCCTTCTTTTCTCTCTCTTCTGTGAGTCTCTTCTCTGCGAGCTTCTCATATTCATCTTTGTCCCACTTTCGGCGAAAGTCCAAGTTTTTTGTCTGTAGGGGGAAAAAGTGCTCAAGATCCGTCGCTGCGCCTGTTCCCCTGGAGAAACTAAGGGAACCGCCTAACCGCCACCGAGGCGGCCCCAGGACCTTTCAAAAGAGAAGTCTCTCTGGAACGCCCAGGGGTCTGGTGTACTCGGGACCCCAACCCGAGAGACTTCCGAGATTCCACTGTCCCTGCGCCAAGGCCTTACGGGGGAGTTCTCGAACCTGGACCCTGAGATCGCGAAGAGGCGTCAGGAAGTCAGTCAAATCTCACAGCCTGTCTCTATTTAGTTCTGAAAAACCACCCCAGACCCATTAAACCTCTTCACACCAACACCTACCCCGCTGCCCGACGCCATCTTCACAGCGAAGTGAATGGAAAGCCGTAAAATGCCGTAAAACGCGTCCTGGAGCCATAAGGCAAGCTCACGCTCCAATAAGGTTCGAGCCGCGCATTCTAACTGCGTTAAGGACTGGAGTGATTCTAAGGCAGTCCTGTTGGCCCCGCCCTCTGCTCCAAGGAGATGGCGCAGGCGCAAAGGGAGTGTGAAGCAACGCGGAAGTAAGGGCACCGGCCAACGTTTTTCTCACTGGCTTTTAAAAACAAGCCCTGGAAGACTAGCTCAGCTCTTCTGTTTTACAAAAAATCGGAGTTTGGGAAACAGTTTCCCATGATCTAACCAACTTTACCTGCATCTTCAACATTTCTAAACTTCTTTTTTAAGCAAGTTCTCAGGTAGCCCCGACTGGACTCTTAACTGGCTAATGTAGTCAAAGTTGGTCTTGAATTTCTGATTCTCCTGCCTCCACTTCCCAAGGGCTGGATTTACCGGCATGTTCCACCAAGCCCCATTCATGTGGTGCTGGAGAGCGAACCCAAGGCTTCGTTCATGCTATCAGTCTACCAATTGCGCTACTCTCCCTGCCTGGTAAACCATATTTTAAAAGCTAAAACACTGTCGATGGTTCTGGATGTCCCATTCACCAGCAGGCACTATGAGTATGGCTCTAAATTATGTAATTTGCCTGCCTCTGCACCACCACTTCACTGCAGGGATTAAAAGTGTGGCATCAGGCAAAGACTTTTCAGTTTTACTGAGAAAGGGTCTCATGTAAACCCAAGGCTAAATTTTTATTTTTATACAGGGTTTCACTGTGTAGGCATGGCTGGCCTATAACTCACAGAAAATTGGCCTGTCTCTTCTTTCCCTAGTGCTAGGACGGAAAATCCTAGCACTATCTTGCCTGGCCCCGAAGCTGACTTTGAACTTCTGAGTCTCCTGCTTTCACCTCCCAAATGCTAGGCAGACATTCTGCCACAAGAGCCACATCCCTAGCTTCACTCTATGTTGTTTTGGTGGGTGGTTTTGTTTTTCACATTTTATTTTGTATATAAGTGTGCATGTGTGCTACACAAGTCATCGCAAATGAGTACAGGCCAGAGGAAAACCCAACAGAATCTGCTCTCTTCTTCCACCATGTGTGCTCCAGGGATAAAACTCAGGGCACAGCCCTCACCTGCTAAGCCATCTCACCTGACCTGATGTTAACTTTTTAGCAGCATGACTGCATTTCCTAGTTGGTGAGAGAGAGAAGAGAAATTCTAGTCATTCCCTTCACTGGACACAGAGGCATCGTCCCAGGAAGGTTGCTCGTAGCTCACTGGATTCTCCGGTATTCACTTAAACGTTTCCTAAGGTCTATGCAAATTAATCCTTTGGTAACAAATTACTCAAAGTACACTTTTAGAATTATTTTATTCTTAATCACATGGATGCGTCTGTGCATGAGTACATGCACAATAAGTGCAGGTGTCTATGGAGCCCAGAGGAGGGCCTCAGACTCCCTGGTCCTGGAGTTACAGAGAGCTGTAATCACCCTAGTGTGGGTGCTGGGAACTGAATTCTGGTCCTCTGCAAAAGCAATATGCACCCTTAACCAGTGAGCCATCTCTAACCCACTAGTCCATTTTTTAAAATGTAACATATTACATGCCCACTTCTAGAACACCTCCAGTGCAGGGTGTGGAAAAATACAGAAAACGTTAACTGTGGCAAAGGCAATTGTGTCCAAAATCTCAAAATATCAGATCACTAATTTATCATCCATTAAGTTCAATGTTCAAGATTATTAAATAGCCCCAACCTTCTACTGGTTACTGGAAGAACCAACAGATGCACTGCCAAGTCCTTGACATCCTCTCTGTTCACTGTCCATGCTTGCTGTCCTTTTAATATTCCATGGACAGCCCATAGTCCAATGTAGACAAATTCTCCAGAATCTGGTTCTCAAGATAGTCAAAAGTAAAGCTTCTCATTTCAGTGGTTCAGGGTCTCAGACTGAGGCAACTCTTCTAGAGCCTTGTTCATGGCAACCATCTTAACATCTCTTGACAGACTTCAGAGGCACTTCAGGTCTGCCTCTGCAGCTAGAGCATGCCTCTTTGGCATGACAGCCATCTCAAGCAGAGTAACCGCTATCACTAATCCATGAGATCTCAGGCCCTTCTGTAATTCTGTATCCAGCATGGAGAGAGGCAGAAGGCACTTGTACAACATCCATTCTGGACAGTGTTGTAAAGTCCACCAGAACTCAGTCCTAGATGAAAACTTTCCTTCTAAGGGCAGCAGATGAAATTAGGCAGCAATCAGGACTCGGACAGTCGCTTCTGAATTTCAGCCACAAGATTTTCTCGATTAATGGTCACCTAAAACATAAGAGAATCCTTGTGTGACAAAACTAGAAAATAACAGTGTCTTAGCCAGTTTTTCCAAATTCACTTCACTCTGAATCCATTCTTACTATTTATTCCTGGGACACACACATGAACACACACACAAATATGATTTAAAAGAAATCTTTTTAAATTTATTTCCTCTGATAACACATCTCTTAAAAGAGTATGGTATGGGATCTTGGCATGTTGCCTGTTGCCACAGCACTTGAGAAGCTTTAAGCCTATAAGCCCAGCACTCCAGAGGTAGGGGCACTAGGGATCTCTGTGAGTTCAAGGCCTGCCTGGTCTACAAAGTGAGTCCAGGACAGCCAGGGCTATTACACAGAAAAACCCTGTCTTGAAAAAAAAAAAAAAAAAAGTGGAGGTGGAGCATTTAGAACTCTGTATTTCTGTCAGCTCCTACTCACTTCTTCTCTGCTGGCCACTGAGCGGAGCTTGATGACACCTTCATTCTGTTCTTGCTCACCAATAATGACCATCAGAGGAATGTCTGCTTTCTCACAATAGTGCAGCTGGGGTAACAGTTTAGGGTTGATTTTATATAACATCTCTGCCTGAAAAAGATAGAGAGCAGAGGATTTAAAGTGATTTTAGCATATAAGTGCCCAAGAACATACATTTACAAGGAATCCAGAAGTAAGTGGCTAGACCTCTAGTGGTAAGGTAAAATGTCCTAAATACCACTGTAGGTATATGGTAAAGATAAGCCATGATTATTGTGCCCACAGACACCCAGGTCGCTCAGACAGCAATACCGCCACACCTTGATCCCAGCATCCCAAAGCTCTGCAATTATCTTCAGCCGTTCTCGGAGAAAGTTCTTCTGGGGTGTGGCCACAAACACTTGCGTCTCTGTGGTTCGAACCTTCTCACCAGAAATCTGATGAAACAGAAAGAAGAAACTAAAACTTCGGCCAAGGGTAGCTCTCACAACTGGAATCCCAGCACTCAGGTGGCCAAGGCCCTCCTGAGCTCAGAAAGAAATCCTATTTCAGAAAGCTCTTCTAAAAAGGAGGCCCAGCACTTGGGAAGGCAGAGGTAGACAGATCTCTGTGAGTTCAAGGCCAGCCTGGTCTACAAAGAAAGTCTAGGACAGCCAAGGCTACATAGAGAAACCCTGTCTCAAAAGAAAGAAAGAGAGAAAGAGAAAAAAGAAAGAAAGAAGGAAGGAAGGAAGGAAGGAAGGAAGGAAGGAAGGAAGGAGAAAAGAAAAAAGGAAGAGGGTGGGGTGAGTAGAGAGTGGGAAGGGCTGGAGAGATGGCACAGCAGTTAAGAGTACTCATTCTTTTACAGGATCCAAGTTCAAGCACCAACATGGTGACTCACAACCACCCGTAGCTGATTCCCCCCCACTTCTGACCTCCATTGGCACCAGGTATACACATACATTCAAGCAAAACACTCAGACACAAAAAAATAAGAAATAAATGTTTTTTTAAAGAAAAAAAATATCATTTACACTAGTAATTCCAAAAAGCAAAAGGATCATTAAAAGGGGGTAGGGGGCTGAGAGTATGCTAACGAAATGGCTCAGCAATTAAGAGCACTGGCTCCTCTTCCAAAGGACCCAGGTCCAAATCCCGGCACCCACATGGCAGCTCATAACTGTCTGTCACTCCAGTTCCAGTGGATCTGACACCCTCACACAGGCGTATATGGAGGCACAATACCAATCTAAGTAAAATTTAAAAGGTCCAAACGCACCTCCAGAAACCGGTTACTAGCTTTCAAGGCCACTTCACCTCTACCTAGGACCTACCTTCATCTTCTGCTCCACAAGGTAGAAGATTCTCTCTACTCCAATGCTCAACCCCACACAAGGCACGTTATGGCCCTTTGGATCAAACTGGCCTACCAGCCTGTCATAGCGCCCACCGGCAGCTACACTGCCCACACTCAGAGTCTCCTCTCCAGCCTGAGCTGGAGGCTGTAGCAGCACTGCTTCGTAAATCACTCCTGTGTAATAGTCTAGACCCCGGGCCAGACTCAGGTCAAAGGAGATCTGTAATGGAAAAATACAGTCAGCCCCAGACCAGGCTCTGAGAACCCAAGAGCTCAGCAGAAGGTCCAGACCCAGCTATGCCTACCTTGTCAGCAATTCCAAATAAAGTCAGGTATTCAAAGAGCAGCTTCAGGTCCCGCAGGCCCTGCAGGGCCAGCTGGCTTTGGGACAGTCTGGGATTCTTAAACATCTCCTCTACCAGGGATATTCCTCCTGGAAAAAAAAAAAAAGTCATGTAAAATATGTGTTATTTACTCAGATATGTTTTACCCAAATTTAGTTTTTGTTGTTGTTGTTTTGGGTTTTTGTTTGTTTAGTTGGTTGGTTTTGGTTTTGGTTTTGGACAGGGTCTCTCTAAATAGCCCTGGCCATCCTGGGCCTCACTATGTAGACCAGGCTGGCCTAGAACTCACAAAGATCCACCTTCCCCTGCCTCCCGGTTCTGGAATTAAAAACATGTGCCACAAGAGCCAGCTTGAATTTATCTGCTCTAGCCATCTTCCTCACTTTCATTAAAAAGACCACAACCTTGGTTACATGGCCAAATATTCCTCTCTACTCTGCCTTTGCCAAGAGACATAAAGTAGTTACAACACATAAAAGGGAAGCTTCAGCCAGGCCAGACTCTGGAGGTGACCCAGAGGTAGAAGCTAAACACATGTCACCCTCAGCCTGTTCTGTCATGGCTCTGAAAACCCTGGTTCTTACCATGGCATTGGATATAGGCTCCAATTCGATCAGCCACCTCAGGAGCTAGGCCTTTCTTTGCCACCATCTCATGTCTCACATCTTCCCAAGAAATCTGCATTAAGACCCAAACAACAGCTCAGCCCCAAGCCCTTCTTTCCCTAACTGAAGCACAGCATCTTATTTTCATCTGCTACCAAAAGCTTAAGAAATTAACAGTAAATTCAGCAAAACTAGAGACCACTTAGGAAATCTACAAAATCCACAATCCCCACTGCATGGCATTACTCAGACCTTGTTCAAAAATATCTGCTGAACCTTTTTTCTTTTTTATGAATAGCTACTTCCAGCCACGGTCTCCTTATTCTTCCCCTAATGACATGGATTTGAGGACAGGGCAGAAACCCAGACAGGAACTATTTAAAGCATGTTTTCTTTGTTACCTTGTCTAGTTTGTCCACTGAGGAGCAGATGGTACGGAACTTGCTCTCAGGAACACCACAGACAGCAAATATCCCATCTATAACCCGCCGGTCATTTACCTGTGAAGTCAATGTAATTAACCTATGTCCTGTCAATCAATGTCCTTTCCCTCAAAACAATGGCCACTCTAAATCTCATCACCCATAAAAGCAATATAAAGACAATTTCACAGCCCAATCCAAACTTCTCCCTCACTATGCACAAGGCTGGCCTCACCTTAATGACAAAGTCCCCCAGTTGCAATCCACTTAGGATTTCACACATGATCTTCAAACATTCTGCATCAGGGATCATAGGGTCAAACTCACCCGCAATGTCAAAATCCTACAGAAAGAAAAAAAAAAAAAAAAGAGGAAGAAAGCACGGTGGCAACACACCTTTAATCCTAGCACTCAGGAGGCAGAGGTAGGTAAATTTCAGTGAGTTTCAAACCAGCCTGGTCTACATACTGAGTTCTGAAACAGCCAGGAATATACAGAGAAACCCTGTCTCAAAAAAAAAAAAAAAAAAACCCAAAACAAAAAACAACAAAAACAAACCAAACAAAAAGGGAGAAAAACAAACCTTCCATTGCAGCTAATCTCTGATGTAACTATTACTAAACTCTGAGCCAGTCAGAGCACTTACGCACTGGCAGAACTCCCGGTAGCGGCCCTGGACTATGGCTGGGCTCTCTCGACGCCACACCTTTCCAACTTGATACCGTTTCATCTTCTTCAATTTATTCATGGCCATATATCGAGCAAAAGGGACCTTACACAAACAGGTTGAGGAAGAAAAATACTATGTTCAATGTTTAGACCTGCCATTCACACAGGAAGGAGAACTGGGTTCCGTATCTTACAGGATAAAAACAAAGACTTCCCAGGCTTGTTTCTACCATCTCTGAAGCCTAGCAGTGCTTGGTGTTAATGAAGGCACTTCACTTACTGAAACCACATGCATACTTTCCATGATTCTGTATTAAATATTTAGTGGTTCTCAACCTTCCTAACACTGCCACCCTTTAATACTATTCCTCATGTTGTGGTGACCCACAACCATAAAATTATTTTTGTTGTTACTTCCTAACTGTAATTTTGCTAAATCTCTCATATGTAACCTGTGGAGAGTCAGGACTCACAGGTTGAGAACCACTGATTTAGCACTAGTGCAGCAGGTAAAGGGGTTTGTTGTCCAGCTATGTCAACCTGAGTTCTAGCCACAGAACCCACACAGGAGTTAGGAGAACTGACTCTAGGAAGTCATCCTCTGACCGTCACACACATGTCCACACAAACAACATCCACACACACAACAGTTAATTTTCTTCTATACATATGCTTATGAACACCACTCCAGTCACAGACCTTAGGATCTCTGGAGCTTGGGTCAGTAATCTGTTTCTACAGACTTCCTGGAGAATCTCATACACAGTGAAGTTAAATGGCAGGGCCTTCAGGATAGGATCTGATGGCAGAATTGCCTTCTGGGAAAAACCTAGTAAAGAAAGGTACTGTCAAAGTTCCTCTACTCCCTCCTACCAGAGAAAACCCACTGGATTTGGGTAGAAAAAAGTCAGGCTGCCGCACTCAGAAGGATACGGTGAGGTCATAACGGAGAGACAGCAACTCTCCACCTTGATCCTCCAAATCATACATGAGACCGAAGTTGTCTTCATACTTCTCAGTGAGCATTTCCTGCAAGAGTCGAACAGAAAAGGCCACAATTTAGAGCACTGACCACAGAACACAGATGAGAAGCCTGGGGGCCGGTAAGCGATGCGGTTGTCAGCATCCTCCAATCCTTACTTTTAGCTCAAATGCTGGCGTATCCAACCCTTTTGCCCCATGACGTTTAAAGCAGCTGATAATCTTATTAAGAATTTTTTCCCTCACAACCATCTGTTGAGGACTTAAATCCCTGGTGCCCTGGAAAACAAAAGTAGCCAAAGTAAAAAATCAAGACCATTTAAGACTAAAGGTTAAGTCATGTCCATAATCTAAGGTTTGAAACTAACTTAAACTCCATCTAGAATTTCAAGAACAATAAGTCAAAAAGAAAAAAGAAAAAAAAAAGATTTAAAAGGGAGAGGCAAAGAGAGTGTGCTTGCCTGCACTGCACCTCTGACCCTCTGACAGGCAGGGTGGGCAAAGGATGTTACCTTTGGAACCTTGATGACAAAATGCGGTTTTTCTTGATGTGGTTTCAGTTGGGATGTTAACACTGCCTCTGCAACCTGGTAGAAAAAGGAATATGAGATGGGCCTTCTCCAGGCATTGGCCAAATCTGTGACCCTGTGGACCATCACCCTGAGAAGACCTTTGATCCCATGCAAAAAAGTTTCCTGAACACCATTTTATTTTGTCTATGCTGATCTCCTTCCACCCTCAATAATTCATGCTGACTTTCCAATTATACCTGTAATATATATAAAGATCAGTCTTTTTTTCTACATAAGCTTCTTCACTTAAATGTCTGAAGAAGTTGAAGCACCTGAGAATAATAAAGACACAGAACCCACAACTGTCACCACGAAATTTCTAGAAGTAGGGATTAGAACTCCAGTTCTCAGCTAGACATGGTGGCACACACATATAATCCCCACACTTGGGAGACAAAAGCAGGAAGATCTCTGTGAGTTCAAGGCCAGTTTCTTCTACATAATGAGTTACAGGACAGCTAGAGCTACATAGTCTGTCTCAAACGAATAAACAAAAAGAACTCCAGTTCTCAATTCTTACTCAAATAGCCAAAAAGGTGGTACATGCCTTTAATTCTAGCAATCAGAGGCAGGCAGATCACTATGAGTTTTAAGGCCAGCCTAGTCTACAGAGTAAGCTCTTGGACAGCCAAGGCTACAGAGGGAGGCCCTGCCTCAAAAATAAATAAATACATACATACATACATACATACAGTCATTTATCAGACATGGAGGCAACTTTTAAAAGAGGAACAAACATGGGCCAATGAGATGGCCCAGTGGGTATACACCAAGCCTGACCATCTGAGTTGGATGTTTCAACTCACATGGTTGAAAGAGAAAAACTAATTCCCACAATTTGTCCTCTGACTTATTTACAATCATACACAATAAAAACCTATGAAATCATAGAAATAAATTTCCTGGTTAAACTACAGAAAAAAAAAAAAAAAAAAAAAAAAAAGACCAGTAAAATTCTGTGACTGAAACTGAATTAAAGCTCTGGTCCCCTGTGGAGCATGATACAAAGCACCTGCTTTCCGAAGAGGGGTAACAATCACTGATTTAGTGCTAGTGAGGTGGCTCCTGAGTATCCGTGCTGGCCACTTACCACAGCCACCTCAGTGCAATCCCCCAACTCCACAAGGTGAAGCAGGGAACAGAAGTGCACCACGGCACACCAACACCCACACACATTAATTAATAGATAAGTTTACTTTTATAAAAGAAGAATCAGACCTAAAGACCCACACGTCGTTTGCCTTCCGGAAATACAAATGGTGGTAATTCCGACTCTTCCCAAAGAGAAGACTGAGTACAATACCCCATCCCCTTATTCTAATTCCAAAATCCAATTATCTCTGAAAATGTTTCTCTGAGATTCGTTTTAGCGTAAATTCACATGATGGGTATAAACTCAGTTCATTTATGGGGGACTGTCTATACAGATTTGACTCAAATTCCATGTTCAAGAATTTCAGCTGACTGAAAAATAACCCTCATAATTCTCAGTTGCTATGTACCCATAAGTCATTTAACCCTGCGATCTCCGCTTACTCAACTGTAAAACAGAGATAAAAGCCTCAATCTTTGAGATTGCTCCAATAATAAAATGACAAAAGCATCCAAAACGCTTAGTCCAGTGCAGGTACAAAGTGGTTTATCAATGTAAACCAATTGTACGGCTGGAGAGATGGCTCTTGTAGAGGTCCTGGGTTCCCCAGCACCCACAGGGTGACTCACCACCAGCCAACTCCAGACTCAGGCGACCCATTTCTGCCTTCTGCGGGCAGCAGGCGCGTACGCAGGGCACGCATACGTGCAGGCAAAATACCCATACAAATAAGAAAAATAAACTTTCAAAAATAAAAAAATCAACTGCAATGATACAATACAGACTGCGCGTCAATGCTTTCAGGAGAGGAGGCTCGGGGTGGCTCACCTGGCTGTGACAACCAACCGCCCGGACGCACACAGCGCGGGGAGGTCGCAGGAGCTGGGCGAGCAGCGCAGCCCAGACCCCGCGGCGCAGGGGTCCCCCAAGATGGGGCATTGTGCAGCAGGATTCCGGCTTTCCGGAACAGGAGCCAAGGGCCCGGAACCGAGAGCCGCCCAGTTTCAGAAACACTACCCCGAGCTACAAGCACCTGGGGTCGGAGTTAGTCCGTGAGGTGGGGCTAAATTCCGAGTGTCTCACGCTCCCTGACCCGGAAGTGTTCCCGCTCCCCTCTCGCCAGAGACGCTCTAGACAGGAAAGCCGGCGTCTCGGTAGCCGGAAGTCATCCGAACCTAGGCTGAGTCCACCAAGGCGGGTTCAGGCAGCAGTCAGTTCCGGTTGGCAGCCAGGATGGCAGATCGTGCTGCGCTGGAGGAGCTGGTGCGACTCCAGGGAGAGCATGTGAGGGGCCTCAAGCAGCAGAAAGCCTCTGCTGAGCAGGTGCGACTCAGATGGAAAGAGAGGGGATGGACAAAACCAGGGGAACGTAGAGGGGTGGTCTGGCTGGAGAGCAGGGGTGTGGATAAAAAGACCAGGCTGCTAGAGTGAAAGGGGCTGAATGAGGAGGTTGCCAGGGTGGGTCCCTAGAGAAGCGAGGCTAGGCCTAAGAGAGAGGGGTATCGAGCGAATGGGAACGGAGGGAGGGGAGTGACAGGTGGACAGGCTAGCGGCGTTTTTCCCTCCACAGATCGAGGAGGAGGTGTCGAAGCTCCTAAAACTGAAGGCGCAGCTGGGCCATGATGAAGGCAGACAGAAGTTTGTGCTCAAAACCCCCAAGGTAAACTATTCCTGTGTGAGGCCTCAGAGGCGGGCCCAGATCCACAATCTGAAATATTGCAAAGGAGTCAAGAGTTGGTGTGGGCACTGGGCTGGATGGAACTCAACCTGAGTCATTCGGTAATGGCAGCGTGATGACGGGAGTCAGCCTGCTAACTGCTACTACTCCTTTCATTCATTACATATTACATTACACAGTAAGTCTGTGTGTGTGGCATTGTGCATTGACTACACCGTGCCAGACGCCCGCCTTTGCGATGCTTACCTTCCACCGAGACAGAGATTTAGGACAGATAATCCCACACAGGGCTGTGCAGTTACAAAATAGGACTGGTGATATGAAGAAATTGAGGGCTGGAGAGATGGCTCAGCTTTTCAGAGCGTGCAGAGGATCCAAGTTTGATTCCCAGCACCTACATCAGGTGGCTCACAACTGTCTGTAACTGTAGCTCCAGGAGGATCTGACACCTCCGGCCTCAACAGGCACCTGCACGGACACATTCACATAACCAAACACAGATACACACACCACACACACATACACATATAAATGCATAAAAGTAAACAAAGGAACTCACAGAGATGCTCATAGAAAAAAAAAGAGATTGCTGGGGAATCTGAGAAGCCACACTGAGGAGGTACTATACTGATGGACCGCTCAGTGGGTAGGAGAGAACCAGGGAATGACCGTTAGGATGATAGGCCCAGTTGGTTGTGGAAACCCTGAAGCAGAAAAGAACTTTGATGCTTCCTAGAAACTAGAAGAAGACCTGCACAAGTAGAACCAAATACAGTTAGTGATGCGTAGCTCCATCTCAGGACTTTGGTTCAGACGCTATTCTGTAAGTTCTAGAAACAAAACTACACCTTCATCGGGTTCCCTTGGCGCATCGTGCATAGCTCTGCTATTTCACAGGCCTTTAATTTTCACTTCGGTGAATGTGTGGATATGTGCAATATGGGTACTTGCATTGGCTAAGAGAAAGTGTCCGATTCCCTGGAGCTGGAGTTACAGGCAGTTGTGAGTCGAGGTGCTGGAAACTGAACTAATGTCCTCCGGAAGAGTGCGGAGCGTTGTTAACCGCTGAGCCCTCCTCTCCTACATACATCCTCCAACAACTTTCAGTAGTGAATTCATGAAGTTTATTTACAAGAAGCTAAGACTGGGTGCCTAGAAATAAACATATATTTAATGAATGTGTTTAAAATTGATTTCTAAGGATGAGAGAGGCCATGTGTGGTGGTGCACATCTTTAATTCCAGTACTCAGGAAGCAAAGGCGGGTGGATCTTTGTGAGTTTTAGTGGCATTTAGAAAGGTCATTGGGTTTCACTAAAGAGGAACTAGTCTATTAAAAGTTTTTTTTATTTTCTAGATTAGTCAGTAGTATCAATGATTATCAATCATTGTTTCTTTGAGATTTTATTTTATTGAGACAGAGTATCTATGTACTTCTTGCTGGCCCGGAACTCTTTATGTAATCCAGGCTGGCCTTGAACTCACAGAGACCCACCTGCCTCTGCACCTCCCATGTTGGGACTCAATTCTTTGAGATTTTTTTTTTTTAAAGATTTATTTTATTTTTATTTAAGTGTATATGTCTGTGGGACTGTATGCCATGTGTAGGGCAGCTGAGTTACAGACAGTTATGAGCTGCCCAGCTGGGTGCTGGGACCTGAAGTCAGGACAGCCTGGTGTACAGGTTCCAGGCCAGCAAGGACATAGTATGATAGTAAAGCCTTGTCTCCAAAAAGCAGGGGGTGGGGAGCAGGGGTGAGGTGGAGGAGTGGAGACTGATGGTATGATTAATTCTTCTGTGTTGAGGTTAATTCTTTAAGCCAAATTCATTAAGCTATATCCTTGTTCACAGTTTTTAAAACCAAAGTAAAACAAAACACAAGACCTGGCCAGCCTCAGGCTTGCTGTATAGCAGAGGCTAGCTTTGAAATTCTGATCTTCAGGTTTCCACCTAGCAAGTGCTGGAATTACAAGCAAGTACTACCACACCCATCCTACACAATTCTTCTTCAAAGGTCAAGAGAAGTTTAAAATATCAAAGAAATGGGGGCTGGAGAGGTGGTTCGGTATTGAGGGTGCTTGTTGTTTTTCTAGAAGAGCTGAGCTAGGTTCTCAGTGGTTCAGCACCCACATATAGCAGCGCACACACACACACAGATACACACAATGGCATTAAAGAACTAATGATCAAATAATTGCTCAAACTATTTCATTTAATAGCGTGATCGGTGTTACTCTTCTCGCTACATCTTTTAATTCCCTCAAAATATTATTTGCGCTAATTTGTAATGGTATGTTGATAAATTTTTGCACTTTGAATTTCAAATGTGGCAAATGTACATGGAAATAATACACTTTGGACTGAAGAGTTAGTAGCTAAGAATGTGAGAAGGTCTTTAGACCAAAGGCTCTGGAGCAGACTCTACGGCCCATATTAAAGCTCTGACCTGTATGGGAGACAGGCTCCACTACACACTTGCTCAGTGCTCTTAGGTGGTGATTTGACTTCTTGACAGCCTATAATTTAACTATAAAATGTATCTGCCAAACCTGACTTTTTTTTTTCCTTCTTGAGAAAGGGTCTCACTCTTATGGGCCAGGCTGGCCTTGAACTCAGTGATCCCCCTGCCTCTGCCTTCCAAGTGCCACTACACCCAGCTTTGTAAGGGCTTTTTATCAAAATTAATTTTGTTAACTAGAATTTGACAGAAAATTCTGTGGAAAAAAAAAATTGCATGTAAACTTTAGAATTTAGCCTATAATATAGCACTCGGGGAGGCAGAGGCAGGCAGGTCAGCCTGGTCTACAATGTGAGTCCAGGACAACAAAGGATACACAGAGAAACTCTGTCTTAACAAAAACAAAAAACAGGGCTGGACAGATGTTCATTGGTTAAGAGCACTGTCTGTTCTTCCAAAGGACCCGGCTTCAATTCTCAGCACCCACATGGCAGCTCACAACTGTCTGCTCATTCCAAGGGATCTGACACCTTCACACTAATGCACATAAAATAAAATTAAATAAATTATTAAAAAACAAACAAATTCAACCTGAAGCCACTTTGAATTCACTTTAGAATTCAACCTGAGCCACTTTGAATTGATATGCTTGTCAGGTGGGTATTCTCTGCTATACAAGGAAATACGGTTATTCCTGAGTTTTCAGAAAGCTTGTGTTGAGACTCTGAATTCTATGAAAGAGAACCTAGTGGCTGACAGCAGTGAGTCTTGGGATTGACAGGACCTCTTCTGAGCTATCTTCCCACTTGGTGACCTGTAGGAAAAGCCACATTGCAGGGTCGTATGTGTTCCATGTTGCTGAGCTAGACTGTGGATATTTCTAGAGTTTATTGCTGTGTTTTAATGTCATTCTTGAGTTTTGATTTTGACTCCTAAGGGCACCAGAGACTACAGTCCCCGGCAGATGGCAGTTCGGGAGAAGGTGTTTGATACCATCATCCGCTGCTTCAAGCGCCATGGAGCAGAGGTGATTGATACACCCGTGTTTGAACTAAAGGTGAGCGATGGGTGAGGAGAAACCGCACAGTGGCGCCATGGGCTTATGAATACCAGAGAGCATAATAAAGGAGCCTAAGGTTACTAAGGTTAGAATTTTAACGTATAAATGGGGCAGGCAGAGCTTAGTCTGTGACACCACCAGTCTGTGACAGCACCCACATGGCAACTCACAGCTGTCTGAAACTCCAGTACCAGGGTATCTATCACCCTCACACAGACATACATACAGGCAAAACACCAATGTACATAAAATAAAAATAAAATCCTAATTAAGAAAAAAAAAATTTTACTACCAAGCCTAATGACCTAAGTTTAATCCTTAGAACTTTCAAGATGGGGGAACCAACTCTTACAGGTTATCTGCTGACCAAGTTGAAATTAGTCATGTTAGAGTAGTAAGTTTTTGTGTTTATATGGTCTTTTTTAAATATTTATTTATTTATGTATATGCGTACACTATTTGCATATATGCCTGCATGCCAGAAGAGGGCATTGGATCCCATAATTGTGAGCTACCGTGTGGTTGTTGGGAATTGAACTTAGGACCTCTAAAGAAAAGTGCTCTTAACCTCTGAGCCATTTCTCCAGCCCCTGTAGTGGTCTTTTAAGGGCTGAGGATACAGTTTAGTGATAGTGATTGCCCACCAAATACAAAGCCTAGGTTTAGTCCCTAGCATCAAATAATAATGAGGAGGAGGTGGTGGTTATTTATAGCCAGGGGTGGTAATCCAAGCCTTTAATCCTAGCATCTAGGAGGTAGAGGCAGGCATATCTCTGGAAGTTCACAGCCAGCCAAGGATACATAATAAGACCCTGACTCTAAATGAATAAATAAAGTTAAAATTTGATTTATTATTTTGATCATATTCTTCTTGGTTTC